AAAAAACCGGCTTCTGTTATTCAATTTTTGGTCAATTATTATGATTAGTATATCAAAACAGTTTGATTTTTACTATAAAATACAATTTTTTTAGTATCAAAATTTTACGTCTAAAATTGATAGCCTGGGTAATAATTAGTGTCATTATATAGTATATTTCTAGTAGATCTTAAGCAAGCTTAAAATTTTAATGCAGTTTGGCTGATATTTATGTATATTATGAATAAAAAAAAAATTATTCTTTTATCTTAAAAACATTTCTTTTTTTTTTAAATAAAGGATATGCTAAAATATGTGATATTCTTGAAAATATTATTAAATGACAGTTGGTTATTATATACATTTCAGTTATGTAAACTTTTAAATTGTTGTAGGTGATTAATTATAAATAAAAATTATTATTATTATTTTTTCACTCGCCTGATACATTAATGTATCTAATAACATATTTGATAAAACGGTTGTTTTATCAAATATGTTTTATATAGAAATTATGAACATATGATTTTTACGAACTGCTTGTCTTAATTATCGACATTAAATTATAATAAAATTAAATATTCGTATAAAAATAAAAGCCATGATAACTCGATGCTGTAGGAATAATATCAGGGTTGTAAAAAATATATCTATTAAAAAAAAATTTGTTTAAAACATATGTAAACAATTAAAAATGTTTAAAATGTCCCCTTAGATCACTGTAAATGTTAAAATTATTGGTATTTTAAAAGTGTTTAAAACACTGTATTAAATAATGAGTGTTTAAAACAACCCTGAATAATGTACAATTTGTCAAAGCCGCTGGTGACTTAAGTTAATAGAATAGCTTATTTTGCTTATTGCGTGTAGAAAATTTAATAAAACAAATGATCAATGGCTTTATTGTTTGTATTCCTCGAATTTTCTAACGGAGGGTGGTTGTCATTTATCGATTACTTATCAGAACATTGAGCCATTAGGTTTTTTTTATTAGTAATCATTTTACCTATTACGGTACAAATTATGACATTTTTATTACAACATGTGCATTCGCTTGTTTTCTTTATAGTATCAATATAAATGTCCTTTTTTTGTGTGGAATAATGCGCGATCTATAAATGAAACATAGAATAAAACGTATTCTAACTAATCATTAGGTGTCGCGGTCGTTTTTTACAGCAACAAACCAAAAAATAAATTCTCAATACTGTGCACAATTTTACATTTCATTAAATTTAAGAACACCTCTGAAACTGGTTTAGGTGACTGCGGTAACTTTATAGGCCAATCAATCCTCTGTATTTACAAACCAATAGACAGTACGAATAATCCTTTTAAAAAGTTTTATTATATATAAATATAACCCATATAAAAAAACAGCAACGTAAAATATTATTTGAAAATTTTGAAAAAAAATCCAATGTGTTTTTCACTTGTTTTTNACAAAGAAAGAATTATATTGATCCATAGATCTTTCAAAAAGTTATAGCATTATAAAGTTATAAATATAAAAAAGAATTTTTTTACAAAAATCGTATTTTTTTTATAAACGTTGATGTCTGTTTTCACCATGAAGATAAAATAAAGTCCGAAATTTTTTTTTACCATTATAAAGTATATTACATTAGCTTTAATTTAAGATATATATAAAAGTGTCAGACCTTCCGGAACACTTTCAAAAGTGTAGTTGAAAAAGTTCTATTTTCTATATGCATTTTTTAGATTGAAACCCCCCTCGTATATAGGAAAATGGTCCGATTTAAAAAAACAGTATGTCGAATGAAAGATCTATATAAATACTACTTCTCATAAAAAAATTGTAATGATTCATACATTTTTCAAAAAGTTATAGCATAATAAAGTTAAAAATNTTGATCCATACATTTTTCATTCAAAGTTGTCATTTTAAATCTCCCCTTGTGGGCAGGTTAAGGGTTAAATTTATGAAAAAAAAATATACCAAATGAAAGGTAATAATATTATGCATCTATATAAAAAAGAATTATATTGATATGTTCATTTTTAAAAAAGTTATGGCACTTTTAAGTAAAAAAAATTGAAAAAATTTCGTAAATAAGCGATTTTTAAATTTGTAATTTTTTTGGAGATTTCCCCCATTTACGGGGAACGAGGGAATATTTTTCAATTTTAAAGGGTAATGTTTTCGACATTTTGAATCCCCTTCTGTAGGCAGGTAAAGAGTCAGATTTATAAAAAAAATATACCAAATAATAGGTAATAACACCATGCATCTATAAAAAAAGAATTATATTGATATGTTTATTTTAAAAAAAGTTACAGCAGTTTTTAGTAAAAAAAAGTGAAAAAATTTCGAAAATTAGCGATTTTTAAATTNAAGTGAAAAAATTTCGAAAATTAGCCATCACAATTATAAAAAGCCCCTTAACTCAATGATAACAGTCCCCAAAAAACCACTGCCAGAGTAACAAGGTTTACTAAAGTGTATAATTTGTCAAAGCCGCTGGTGACTTAAGTTAATAGAATAGCTTATTTTGCTTATTGCGTGTAGAAAATTTAATAAAACAAATGATCAATGGCNTGTTGGCTCAGTAGATTTAAATTATGTTACAAAATCAGTTAAAATTTATAATTGGCTGATTTTTTAACTTATTTGAATCCATTATTGTTTGAATAAGTCACATAATATAGTTATTTGAATGTAAGATTATTTCAGTTAAGAAAATTTTATGTTATGACAAAGCAATAAAAAAATATAAACACATTTATTATCTTTTTTTTTTATTATTATTTAAAACCAAAATACTAAAACTATAATACTATTATTCAACAAAGAACAATTTCATACTGCTTAAGAGTATTTAATACTGTTCGCCAAATCTGTTTAATATGGACTCATTAAAACACAACCTTCTCTTACTATAATGACAGCCTTAGTATATTTAAACGGTGACAGGACATTGATTTACTGTTAATGTAATCAATGGCGTTACCAGAAACTGATTTTTTTTTTGAAATGGGCTATTATTTTATTTTGATTGCCAAAAACATTTTATTCTACATCGCTATTTCAAAAATTGTAAATGAGAGAAAAAAGAGGTTATGACGTTTATTTTTAGAGTAACATAAAATTAATTTTTTAAATTGAATATTGACCGTGGAAACAAAAGAGTAGTGGAGAGAATTTTATATATTTTTAAGCTAATGAGTTTTAAGCTGCTACAAAAATATATAAATAATTTTAGCTCCATTACTCCGTCTATTTGTCGATCATAATAAAAAACCCAGCACAGGAGGGTCGCGGCACAGTGGTGACTTGGCATAGTTGGATCAAGTATAATAATATCTGACAGTGATTAAAATCACTAAAAAAAAAAACGCTTCAATGCAAATCTTTAGAGAGTCATTACTTTTAAAAAATTGGTGGATTATTCTTAAAGCTACATGATCTACTATTTTCTTATTAATATCTCGAATGAAAAAGGAATTATTAAAAAATATTATTTCTCATAAAAAAATTGTGTTGATCCATACACTTTTCATAAGTTATAGCATTATAAAGTTAAAAATGTAAAAAATAAAATCAAGAATTTTCACACAAATCAGCATTCGGTAGCCATTTTTACCACGAAGACAAATCCAGAAGTCAAATTTTTCCATAATGAAGTATATTACATTACCTTTAATTTAAGATATATATAAAAGTGTCGGACCTTCCGGAACACTTTCAAAAGTTAAGTTGAAAAAGTTCTATTTTTTATATACATTTTTTAGATTTGAACCCCCCTCGTATATATGGAAATGGTCGGATTTAAAAAAACAGTATGTCAAATGAAAGATGTATATAAATACTACTTCTCATGAAAAAATTGTGTTGATCCATACACTTTTCAAAAAGTTATAGCATAATAAAGTTAAAAATGTAAAAAATAAAATCGAGAATTTTCACACAAAAATAGCATTTGATAGCCATTTGCACCGTGAAGATAAGATAAAGTCTGAAATTTTTTTTTTTCATGATAAAGTATATTACATTAGCTTTAATTTATTTCAAAATATGTTGGTAACATGTTATTTAATAAATCATATTTAAAAAAAAAATGAATTTGGATTTCACGTGAATTTAACAATGGATTTTTACNAATGATTTTGGATTTCACGTGAATTTAACAATGGATTTTTACAATTATAATCAATATTTATAACACGTTCAATTGAGTAAATTTTTCAACATTTCTTACATTGTTCATTTGTTATTTTAAAGCGAAACTAAGAAGGTATTGGTCTTATGATACTGTAATTAACTAAAGAATTTTTATGGGTTTCAGAATTCTCAATCTAATATATTAGAAAAGAGACGATTCTTAGTGTTGCTATTTTTATTTATCCTTATGTGGTTTAAATAATTAATATTAAAAAAAATTTTATTGACTACTAGCGGCTTAATTTTTAACTAAATTAAAAGTTAAATATATTAATCAAATCCAACATCACAAAAAAACTTAAAAAACAACGGATGTATATTTTAAAAACATTATGATTGGCATTAAGTTTGACATGAAAATTATCAAAACAATAAGATAATTGTTATTTCTAGAAAATAATTTTATTCAATTTGTATTAATTATCATTAATTTATTCAACAAACACTATAAACACTAAAAAATGTTCTAATAATTTTTAAACAACATAAATCAACTTTTTAAACATTAATTTAATAATAAATCAATAAAATATTTTCAAATTAATTTGTTGAAAAATAACTAGAATAATTTGATTTTTTATAATAATTATTTATTATAGAATACAATATAACAAATATTTTGAGTTGAACAATTTTAAGAAATAAAGTATATTTACTTATTTATAATCAACAAAATAAATTCCAGAGTAATTTAATATAGTATATACAGTAAAAATATTACACATAAAACTAAAATCATTAAAAAATTGAATTCAAGTTATATAAATTAAGTGCATAAAAAAAATTATATGTTTTATAATGAGAATACAATTATTTAAATTTACTTTTCAGTAAAATATGTCATCCGACAGCATGCTGCGGCAAAAATTTAAGAATTATAAGGTATTTATATTTATTCGAAAATCGGTAGTATGTTTAACGTGAAAATTAGAATATACCGAAATTTGTCTTTTATCAGTATAATGCCAATAATTAGAAAAAAATCAAAATTTAAAGCAGTACTTAATCGAAAAATAGTGAATTAATATTTAACATTAATAGTAATCAGCTGATTCTGGATACTTCAAGAATTTTTTATTAGTGTAAAGTTTATTGTCGTTGGATAAGTATTTAGTGTTCATATTGAAAAAGCGGCCGAAAAACGCAGTGATGGAATCATGTCTATTGTCAATATAATTATGCTGAATTTCCATGTTTAGATCGAATAGTTTGCCAAATTGTATCAACTAGAAAATTAATTGATCGACATTAACTACAATTATGATTTACTTATAGAAATTTGATTCATTTACCTCGTTTCGACCTGTAGTTTTAGGTATGTGAAGTGCTACATTGGGAGCAATACTTCTCAACAGGTCGAAGAGTTTTTTACCGCCTCCCTCGTAGTTGCTACACATATGCTTTTCGAGACTGTAAACTTTATGTTTCTTATACGAAGGGCCGCCCCATGGGGGTGAAGTCACTATTACCTGTGGCTTATATTTTTTTAAGGATTCTGCGATTTCAAAGAAATCTCCCAGTATAAATGTAATCTTCTCTCTGACTCCGTAAATCTCAGCATTTCTTTTCGCGAATTCCAATTTATTAGCATCGTTATCCACAGCGATTACTTGTTTGTATCTTTTGGCCAATTGGATGACGTTACCACCAGCACCACAAAACGGATCCATAGCGACGTGTAGGCCTGGACATCTTAACGCTATGTGTGTACTCAAGATTTCGGGACATACTGAATAAAATGATTCTAAAAAAAAAAAAACGTCAAATAAAGTAAAACATTTAAGTTTGTTGAAATAATAATTTTATTACCATTGTCCATCATGATTCCTTCGTCGAATTTTGAAAACAATAAGTACCTCTTATCCCATAAATGTTTTTTAATGTCATTAGGCCGAGTTCTAGTTGCGGAATTTTTGTTGTTATTATTTTCACGTTGTAAATTTCCATTCATTTTAGTCTTTTCCAGGTCTTTTGGAGTAAAAAGTTCAGTTTTTTTACTTAGCAACGAACTGTTAGTGTTAGATGTTATAATATTTTCTGTTAATTTTTTAGACTGTATTCTATTAAATTTGAGTGAATTTTCTATTAAGGTGCGGTTTTCTTGATTTGTAGTAATTATATTTCCTGGCACTATTTCAAATGGTTGTGTTGAATTATTGTTTTTGGACTGTATTAAGTCTGAGTTATAAGACTTAACAGCTTTTACAGAAGTCTCTGTAGGAGTGTTAGTGGTCTCTTTTCCAATTTCAGTTTTCGTAACAATTTCTGGGTTTAGATTTTTGACGGTTTCAATTTCATTATTCATTAATGAAATGTTCGTATTAATGTTTGAGGGCTCTTTTTCGGTTTCAATTATCGGAGTTCCCGTAAATTTATCTTCTAAAGGCGGTTCTTCTAAAATTGAATGTTTTGTCAAAATAGGTGTTTCCAAATTAATAGGATGTGTAGTCAAAACTGGGCAGCGATTATTCATAATGGATTTTACTGGTTTAGTTGAAGTAATTTTCTTCTTAAAAAGTTTCATTTCCAAAAAAGTCTGCAGCGACACAACTGCCAATGCAATAAACATAATATCTCTGATTACTTGAATTGGAATTATAAAATATATCACCAGCGTCGTTATCACAAAAAACAAATGCGAATCCATATTTTTTTATAAATATATACACAAAAAACTTAAAAATATTAGATATACGTAGAGAAAAATGTAACAGTTAAAGTGTTTAAAAAATATACGTACTCATTTATGACAAAAAATAACTTAAGCAAAAATCACCAAACGGTGTCGATTTAAACAGCATTTTTTATCCTATTTATACAAAAAAAAATGCTTCGTTTACATATTATTTAAGCCAATTAATATAACTAAACATTTTTTAATTGGCCAACAATTAAAACAATTGTTTAACAAAATGTGTTATTTTGAATTACAAGACTGCAAAGTTTGTCCTCAATGAGTACCATTGATCTCATAGTTAACAACTACAACCAACACCCTCTTTCCTAATTAAATAATATAAAAACATTTCGACTCATCAATTTATCTATACATGAAATTATGAAATATTTACAATTTTTTTAAACTCCTGTGAAATTCAAATGCAAGTATTTATTATTATTTTTATCATTATTCTACATTTTAAGTTTCTTTTCAACAAACTATTTAGTTGTTATCAATTAGCCATAAATTAATTTTGCAATGCTTTTTACAAAATTATTTGAATTATTCAATTTTAAAACTTAAAATTACGATAAATTAGAACACTGGACATATAGAAATAAAATAGAACTACAAATAAAATGTCAGATCATAAATGACCATGGCAGTTATTTTGCCTAAGTACGCCGTTTCTAATAAGTTTACTTTTTTTTAAGAACGTAAAATATAAAAAATTACTTTAATTTAAATCAAATAAGCAAATTTAGTGTCTTAAATGATTGTGGCGCTTGTCTCGATTTATTTTTATGATTTTATTGTAACGTTATTATTATTATTATTATTGTATTGTTATGTAAAACAAAGTATTTTTAATTTAAATTCATAATATGAATAAACTCAAGACAGATATTTATTGGTAATGTTTTGAATACCTCATTTACAACATAAAAAATAAATAAATTTGTATTTTAACATTAAAATTTGAATAAATTTACGAAAAATAAGTTTTATTTTATTCAAAATATATTTTTTTTGAAAAAATATCATTTTCTTAACAGTTTTTTGCAAAAAATTATCAAGTTGAAAAATAATTTATGATCACGTCTTAATTGCATTATTTTATATAATACTCGTTTTGTTTTGTACTAAATGAATAGAATCGATTAACCAAAATCAATATAAATATTTAGAAAACAAAATAGTAAGACAAAAATATGTCTAAATTAATATTTATTTCAGTTTCTTCGTCTCGTCGTACAATTCACATCCAAAAAATATACCATAAATGAAAATTTTTAATGAATCATAAGAAAAATGTTCTTCATAACATTATTTAATTTTACTATTCATATAATTATTTCAATAAAATATCAGTCATATTTTTCTATACAACTAAAAATTGAAATAATAAGTGTTTACTAATTCTATTCATTTTTTTTTTATTGCTATGTAATTACAGTGTTTATATGGCGATTATTATAGTAAAAATAATTTATATAAATAATGGGAAAATAAATAAAGACAGCATTTTATAAAAAAAATAGTTATATTTAATTCAAGTTAATGTTACTGTAAAAACATTTATAGTTAATTTTACCTTTAAATTGTTAAACGTAAATTGTCTTATTGTTTTCGTAAGAAAATTAAGATCAAACTAGTAAAAAATAATTCAAAAATTGATACAAATTAAAATGTCTATATAAATATAATAATTAAATAATTAAATGTATTATTAATGACAATAGCGTCATTTATTAAAAATTACAATTATGAATTCTAATTTATTTTTATTTATACAGGAGAAACCAGCTTTTTAGCAAGATACATTTTTCCTAGGTAAACTGATTAGCAAAATCCAACCAACGAAAGTGGGTTGAGTTATCAGTTTTCATTGTAAGTTCTTGAAACCCATCAAAAAAATATAATCTAAAAATAAAAAGTAACAGAGTTCATAAATGTCATGTTTAAAAAAAAATTGTTTAAAACTTATAAATTGTTTACCGTAATAATTCGACAGAATGATTATTGAATGATGTAATTTACTAAATTACAGTGTGAATATTATACAACATGTAAATACTAATAGAATATTTACTGTGTAAATAATTACATAATTACATAAAGAATAACCAAAATTTTCATTTTCAAAACATGAAAATTTACTATTAATCTTAGCATATTAGTCATAATATAAACAAAGTGAAGAAGTGTAATTTGTAATTAAAATTAATTAGTCTTAGTAGTAATACCTTTGCCTGTGTACTCGTCAGCCATAAGGGATTATGTCAATTACCTTTGGGTAATGTGTAGGCAGTTGAGGTACGTAGTCTTCTTCTTCATCTTCCCCGCCTTAATCCTAACTACTTGGGGTCGGCCACCCTTATCCTAAACTTCCACTTGACACTATCTCCCACATCATATACGCTCACATCAGCTGTCCTCAAATCGCATTCAATAGCATCCCTCCATCTCTTTTTTGGTGTTTCTCTACATCTTCTTCCTTCAACATTCATTTCTATAACTGTTCTTACAGCTTCCGATTCTTCTCTCCTCATAAAATTGTCACGTATCCAGTATACGGTTAAGGTGTGTCCGTCCGCTAGTCTAACCGCGTCAGTGTGTCCTTTATAAACAGTTCCGTATTTATAAGCAATTCCCGGTTTTACATGCGATTTATGCGCCTGTGAGTCGAGTATAGCTGTGACGAAGCCAGTTTCGAATTCTAACTCGACTGCTGGAGTAGTAATGCTACACGGGCATTTTCGTTGGCCATTGCTCGGGTGGTCTACGGTTCGAACGGGGGGCAGCTGGTTCTTAACCGCGACTTCGGTTTGCCCGCTGACAGCGTTAACTGCCATTAGTGGACTTGCCGGATCGAATGACACCCTCTCCCCCATTGCGCCCGAAAAAATTTCGAACACCTGTCTCGCGCTTTGGTCGTTCGTGTAGACAGCGTGTTCGAATTCCGATACCCTGATTACACCCCAAATTACTGCAGCGTCCCCTCCATTCCGATCAGAGGGGTGCGGTGCCGAAAAAGAGCCAAGATCGTTGGTGGTATGTAAATCGTAAGGGCCGTTAGATTCGGTGTTCTGCGCGACGGTCGTGGTACGTAATATGTTTTTACCGGATAAAAATTGCGATGTGGCAGGGCGCGTTTTAAATGAAACGTAATAATTCCTTCCTAGTCGGTTGCCGTTTCCCGATACTGACCGTCTGTTTGGGCACTGATCAGTCTCAAGAGTGTAAAAGAGAATTGAATTTTTACTTTTCATCGTTGTGATAATGACTATTATGAAGAAACACTCTTTTTATTATAATCAGACCTATACTACAAATTCAGCTGATACTAGTGCTAAGTTAGACTGTAATCCTGGATGTTTTCCCTATATTTACCTTGATAATATACTAGAAAAGAAATTTGGTGGAAAGTGGAAAGTGGGGGAAACCTCCAAAAAAATTACGAATTTAAAAATCGCTAATTTTCGAAATTTTTTCAATTTTTTTTACATTTGTATTTATATACATCTTTTAATCGACATACTTTTTTTTTAAATTGAACCATTTCCCTATATACAGGGGGAATTTAAATCAGAAAAATATCTATAGAAAGTAGAACTCTTTCGACTTAAAAATGAACATATCAATATAATTCCTTTTTATATAGATGTATAATATCATTACCTTTCATTTGGTATATTTTTTTCATAAATTTAACCCTTAACCTGCCCACAAGGGGGGATTTAAAATGACAACTTTTTCACAAAAAATTAACTTTTTCAACTTAACTTTTGAAAATGTTCCGGAAGGTCTGACACTTTTATATATATCTTAAATTAAAGCTAATGTAATATGATTTATCATGAAAAAAAAAAATTTCGGACTTTATCTTATCTTCATGGTGAAAATGGCTACCGAATGCTATTTTTGTGTGAAAATTTTCGATTTTGTATTTTCCATTTTTAACTTTATTATGCTATAACTTTTTGAAAAATGTATGGATCAGTGCAATTTTTTCATGAGGAGTAGTATTCATATACATCTTTCATTGGACATACTGTTTTTTTTAAATCGGACCATTTCCCTATATACGAAGGGGGTTCAAATCTAAAAAATGCATGTAAAAAGTAGAACTTTTTCAACTTAAATTTTGCAAGTGTTCCGGAAGGTCTGACACTTTTATATATATCTTAAATTAAAGCTAATGTAATATACTTTATTATGGTAAAAAAAAATTTC